GTGACTCTTCCCTCGCTAGACTTGAGGGCCAGCTCTGAGAAAGCTGGCATCTCTGCCCAAGAGGTCACACTTACCCCATAGGTGTGAACTGCTGGCACAGGTACAGTATGGAACACCAGTGACCAGGAGGAGACATCTATGTACAGAATTTCTTAAAACTGGGCTTCAGAAAGTGGTGGTAACACCTTTTTCCCTTAACATCAGTCCCCAGTTGCAGTGAAAGGGTCTTTGAAGTCCACAGTGGTGTAAAAGTCCAGGGTCCTCAGGGAGGCAGGTGGGGCAGCACGGCTCTCTGGCCAGGAGACATCGTCAGGTTCCTACTCAGGAGCATGAAGCCTCCGTCCTGTCTTGTCCTCCTTTTCATTTCTCTTCACCTTCTCAGCTCATCTCTGAGCACCCTGCCCTGAGAGTCCGGCTATAAGAACTAACGAGTAGACCTTCCTTCTTCCTGTAGGCCCCATGCCCGTCCTCAGTGCTGTCCCAGTGCAGTCTTTATGAAGTGCAGCACCTCTCTGGGCTGCAGGGGCTGCTTCCTGTTACCTCACAGTCACAGCGCCCAGCCCTTAGGTGTGGGAAAGCCATCCTCTGTCCCTGGGGGGTGGTCAGGCGCTCTACTTTTTCAATATAATTGGCATTTCCAGCTGGACCTGTGTCTCTTCCCTGCTTCTGTATCTGGCAGCTATCTTCTTAGACCTTGCTATGTGAGAAGGTCTTGGGAACACTTCTCTGGAGTTACCAGCAAGCCAGGAAGGAGAGAGGGACATCAGTGAATCACTACGGTGGTGAACACAGAGGAAGCTAAGAAAGTGGGAAGGGAAGAACTAGTGTTTGTGGGCCACTTCCTGTGTGCCAAGCTGTGGCCTGGCTCTGGGCTTCCATGGCTCCTCACATCAGCCCTGCTGTTAGCTTCATACCACGCAGCTGGTCAGTGAGGCCTCTGGGTGCACCCCCGGTCTCCTTTCTGAGCCCCTGCTCTACAGAACTCCAGAAAGCCTTCCTGCCTGCCGTGGCCTGAAACATCATGGGCAGTGGCTTCGCCTTTGGGCTTTGAGGCATCTGGGGCTTGGGCTCACTACTCACAGGCCATGTGCCCCTGGCATGACTCATGTGGCCTCTGCTCCTTCCTTCCCTCCAGGTCACCATGGAGTAACAAGTATGACCCACCTTTGGAAGATGGGGCCATGCCGTCTGCTCGGCTGAGAAAGCTGGAGGTGGAAGCCAACAATGCCTTTGACCAGTACCGAGACCTGTGAGTTCCTGCTCGAAGCTTTGCCTTCCGGCTCCTGTGGCTGTGGTGGGAGGGGTCGGGATAGGGGTGTGCCTGGGCCAGTCTGTCTTGCATCTGTTGCCTGGCTCACCCACTAATTTTCTAAGTGGGATCAGCTTGGGGAAATTAAGGCTCAAAAAGATTAGAGAGTTTGTCCGCCTAGGAAACTGGCTCAAACTCAGGTCTTTCCCCAGTAGCCTCTGGGTTTCGTTGCCCCACATCATCAGGTCTGACCGAGAACTCCTGCCATTTCCTCTGTGCCAGGGTAGGGTGGGTCAGGATCTCGTGCAGGAGGAGGCGGGCAGCCCATATCTAACTAACGTCTTGTAAATAGTGAGTTGATTGGGCTTGGGCCTCTGTAAGAAAGTTTAACCCCAGTACTCTGGGAGGCTGAGACAGGAGGAATCCAGGTACAAACCCAGTGGGCAAGCAGGCCTGTCTCAGAATAAAAAAGCCGTGGCTACAGCTCAGCGTAGAGACTGTTTAGTCCCCAGCACCGACAACAACAAAAGCGTCTGTGCCAGTCTAGACTCATGCTGCTTCCTTCCAACCCTGCCCTGACCACGCTCCCAAAACGGTTGGCCACTCACTGGCTCTTACGAGGGAAAGCGCCACAGAAGCCTGTCCTCTGGCATTTTTTTTTAATCAGCAGAATCTCATTTTAAATTAAATTCTATACTGAAAATTCTGTACTGAAAATTAAGTTCTATATGGAACTGGGTATGGTGGTTCGCACCTGTAATCCCAGCTACTCAGAAGGCTGAGGCATGAGGATCCCAGGCCCAAGGCCAGCGTCGGACAGCTCAGAGAGCTCTTATCTAAAAAGAGAAATGAAGGGGCTGGAGAGATGGCTCAGTGGTCTAAAGCACCTACTTGGAACAACCTTAGCAAAGCACAGGGACCGCGGTTCAATCCCCAGCACCACATGCCAGCCAGCCCCGCCCCCTGGTGGGCTGAGCGGGCCACACACACACACACACACACACACACACTAAATAAATAAATGTTAAAAAAAAAAAAGAGAGAGAGAGAAATGAAGAGACCTGGGAATACAGAGGCACTAGCATGAGGGCCCCTCTAGTGTGTGTGTTCACTCTCAAGTACTAGCTTCCCCATCCCTCCAAAAACAGAAGAGGGGCAAAGCTGAAAGCTGGGCAGTACTGACGCAGGACAAATCCCATCATCTAGAATAGCAGCCTGCAAACTTTTTGCCGAATGGGGCTAAATAGTAGTAGACGGTTTAGGGTTTGCAGACTGTGGAAGACTATTACTATTTTTTTTCTTTCTATAATAACTTTTTTAAAAAATGTAAACAGCACCTCTTGAGCCGTGAGGTCTGGCTCTTAGTCTGTCCCCTGCCCCCTGTGGTCTCGGGTGTAGGCAGGAAAATAGCAATAAGAGAAACCACGCATCTGCACATCTGAATCTATTGTCGGAAAAGAGGTGTGGTCCCGCACGCAGGCTGCCGGGTGGGATGAGGAGCAGTTTGCGTGCCCTCACTCGGGTAGTAAGAAGTGGCTTTTGGAAGCTCGTGAGGCGGGGATACTTCGGTCTGACGCAGACAGGACTCCATTGCACTGCACAGGGAAGGAGACGCGCAGGTGTCTTCTAAGGAAGCAGGAATGGATGGCCTGGATGGTTCAGTAGCCCCAAGTGTCAACAGTGTAATACAGCTTTAACTTCAGAATCTTATCCTGTCCCAGTGGTTTTTTTGGTATTTAGGACAGGGTGTACAGGGTATTCAGGGTCTCACTACTAGATCAGACTTGTAGTGATCCTCCTGTTTATGGCCTCCCAAGTGCTGAGATTACAGGCATGCGCCACCACACCCAGTCTCAGTTGCTGTCCCGGGGCGCCCCGGGGGATCGATCCTTGGCCCCTGTACCTGCTTTAGTCCACTGGGCTCTCTGGCTGGCTCCAGTCTCATACTAGTAACGACAGTAACAGCCAGCCAGTGATGACACAGCATGCACCATGGTCTTCCCTCTCTCATTCAAATTAAAATGACCCTAAGGGGAGGATCATCTCCTTTTGGAAATGAGTTCCCAGGTTCAGGAAGACCAAGTAGCTTCCCCACATTCCCCAGCCAGTGTGCGTGGAACTGGGGCGTACAGCCATCCTTACTGACACCAGAGCCGCAAGTGCATTTGCAGGCAGCTGGGTGCTACATGAGTTAGGTGCCCCCAAAGTGCTGTGGCCACAGCCTCTTCCGCAGCCCGCAAGCCCCCTACCCTCACCGGGCTTCCACCAGGGGCCCAGCGATAGACACAGAAGTCTTAGGCAGACATGTCAGTGCTGCTGGGTGACAGGGTTGGCATGACATGTGCCCTAAGTTGCTCTCGATAAGCAACCCTAGGGCTGGGAGCTGACATCCATAGGGGCCAGCCGAGCTGTGAGGCTGGCTCACGGCATCCCTGGTACCCCTGGACTATGCACCTCCATCAGCCAGCATTCTCTGTGAAAATGGAAAATAGATAGCTTTGAAAGTTCCCTGCAGGCTGTCCAGAGTGCCCGGAAGGACGGCCTGCTCTACCCTAGTGGGAGATGCCAGTGGCAGCCCCACAGTGTGTGCCAGGCTTCTGTGTGTTTCTCCCACATCCAGCAAGCCACCCAGCCTTGCCCCTTGCTCTTTCCAGAGGCTGTGTTCAATGTGCAGGATGTTCTTCTTTTTCATTGGCTTGCATGTTTAGATTCACTGGGGAGGGAGTGTTCTGTTTTTATTTTAATGTATTTGGTAGAGTCTCACTACACAGCCAGGACTCATAGTGATCTTGCTTTCAACCTCTCCAGTGCTGGGATTATAGGAGCACACCACCAGGCCCAGTCTCGGTGGCCAGCTCAGCGCGCCCTGGGGTGGGGCCAGTGCCGCATGTGGAGCTGAGGATCAGAGCCTCGAACCCTGCACTGGCCTAAGCAGGCACTTAGTCCGCTGAGCTATCTTGCTGGCCGTCTGTTCTGATTTTTTATGGATGTAAATTCTTGGGTTTTGTTTCCTCAGGGAAATGATTTGGACACAGTACCTAGTACTGCCAGGTAGCCCCAGACTTTACCTTCAGACCTCTCGTGTTTCCCTTTTTCTCTCTTTGGGTCTTGCCCCAAGGTTCTATCTATTAAGGACATTTGGCCATGCCTTCCTGAAGGGTTTAATGAGCCCCTTAGTGTTAAAATCTCTCTACTCAGTCCTTACATTGTTGCCCACTTAGCAGGTGATGAGACCAAGGCTGAGAAGCACAAGACAGGAGCTGTGACTCGGCTCCTCAGCCTTGCTGCTGCCTCTGAGAAGCCTTCCCTGCCTGGGAGATTGTCCTCTGTTTAGTGTCAGTGACCATATTTCTGTGGGCTATGACTTTACCCACAGTCTTCTGTGAAAGTGGCCTTACCTTAGGCATTGAGAGGGGGAGCAGGTCTGTCCCTGCCCCTGGTTGGGGATTGTGGTTCACACCCTGGCCCCCAACATCTGTGCAGGAGGACGGAGGGGAGGGGAGCGTCCAGGGCTTCGGTGGCACCCACAGAAGAGGCAGAGAGGCCCTTTATTCTCTGCTTGCGTGGGTGGAACAGGGCTACATTCTGTGGACATGACAGGAGACCCAGGCCACCAGAGGGGTGGCACTTGAAGCAGTCATTGAAGACACCAGAGTCCTGAGAGAGATGCCACCCAGTGCTGTCAGTGTGCTAGGGACTGCTCCCATGACCACATGTGAGGGGCTTCCCCAGCTGAACCACACAGGCTGAACCACCCTCTCTGGGCTTAAAAGTCACAAGAACATATCTCACTTGCCTTTTTGTTGTAAACTTCTTGATATGGTGCTTACCACCAGAAGCTCCATCCTCGAAGGGCTATTGAGAGCTTGCTGGTGTACACGTTGTGGCCCTGGGGGCTGGAAGCTGAGCTTTTCCCCCCCTGGTTTTGGGGCAGAGGCCTCCTTTGTCTAGGAGCCATTGAGTGACACTAGCCGGGCGCAACAGGTCATACCTTCCTGCCGTTTGTTCCTTTCCCTCCCCACCAGTAATCATGCCCATGAGAAAGCTCACTTGTGGTCACCCTGCGAGTGAAGCTCTTCAGGTGAATTATCCCACCTGTCTTCCTTTTGCTTTGGCAGCTAGGCACAGGCACAGTCCCTTGGGGGAGGCGACACCCCACCCCGTGCCACGTTGGGCCTGTTGGCTGCAGTTACTCTGGGCTGCTGCATGAGGGGCCAGGAAGATGGCCTGCTGGTGGGAGATGCTTGGGCCTGCAGGCAGATCAACCCTTGGCAGAACCCACCCCTTGCACTACCTCCAGAGCAAGACAAAACCACGCTGTCCCTAGGGGGCTGGGTGAACGAGACTGCTGCTCCTAGGGAAGAGCAGGCCTGTCTTGTAACTTCTGGCAGTCCGGGTATTGCACAGTTCTCGGGTCATGCTAAATTGCATTATTAAAACTGAGTTTGGCTCATTCCTCTCAACCACTCACCCATCCAATAACTGAAAGCTGCCGGACTCCATCCACCTCTGGGGTCACTGTCCTATAATGGGGTATGCTGGCTTGCTGTGAGCTTTCAACGAGCTTTTAGTTTGTGGCCTAAGCACCTCTGCATAGTGGGAAGGCCACCCTGGGCTTGCCCACCAGAAGTGTGACGTACACACACACACCAAACAAAGCCAGAGGCCTCAGCCAGCCTCCCTTTGCTAATCCTGGGGGTCAGCAGACCTGTCCCTGGAAGCACTGGTTCCCTCCCTGCTCAGAACCTGTGGGCCCGTTAGCCTTGTCCTTCCTCAGGGAAGTGCTTAAAAGGTGAGTAGAAGGAGACCACAGTGAGTGTGAGGAGCCTGGACCTGAAACGAGATCCGCCCAGGCAGCCCAGCCCATGCCAGCCCAGACATGGGGAGCACTCGGCCTCCACAGAAGGTTCCTGCCACAGAGAAAAGATCCTGTTCACGAGACCCTGAGGGAAGGCTGTGTTCTATCTTCAGGCCCTGGCTTTGATCCCGGGGTCTGTAAA